CAAGTCATAAAAGTCTTCCAGCTCATCGTGAAACAAGTCCCACTCGTCTTCAGAGTCTGTCAGCTCGTCGTCGTCGTCCCCACCTGCAGCCAAAAGCATAAGCAACATCTCGCCCAGCTCAAAGGTGACAACCTCTTCTTCATCGTCAAAGGGGTTGCTGTTCTCTCTTTCCTCAATGAGCTCCCAGAAGTGGTTCCTTCGTTGGGCCTGTAAAAAACAAGGCCATGATAGGGGTGGCACTGTCGAGTGGTATCTTCTATTCTCTCCTTTCTAAGGCAAAACATCCAGCACACCAGAGGGCATGGCGAACCCGACTTCTCATTTAGGGCTCCATTTTACCAATTCCTCCCCTCTGGCTACATGATGCACAGGTTTGGACTAGAGTTTTAAGTGTTCTAGCTCTTCCTCTCATGCCCCTCCCAGTCTCCTGAGGTTGGTTTCCTGCTTTAATACTCTAGTTTCGCTCCCAGACCTGTTAACTTTGTCCTTCCCCTACCCCAATCTGTGCAGGACTCAATGAGATGGTGGGATTTTCCCTTCTTTAAAAAAAGTGAGAATTACCCGGTATCTGCTTGATGTTCCCACTTTCTGTCTCTGTGGCTCCTCTCTACGGCCATCAGGGTACGCATGCTTGTAAAAACAGTTCCCTCCAAATGGGCAGCTCCCACGTCCTTCATCAAAATACCTGCACGCCTTGTTGCTGGAAAGGAAAATATCGCAACCCTTATTCACAGTGGATTTCAGGTCTGTATGCAACTAGCATCCAGGATTTCTCTAAACAGCTCGGGATAGAACCGGTATGTCAGTTTGCGGCCTTCCCCAAGGTGCGCTCTTAAAAGTGTGTGTGCTAATGCATGAAACACTAGCTAGAAGCAGATACTCTGTCCACGTCTAACTAGAATCTAACAGCTCTACCATGGCAGATCCAGCAGAGAGAAAACCTTCTAGAAAGCACCCCACCACCCTAAGAGCATAGGACAAGTATAACATGGATTGAGAAAGACGGGGCCCTAGTCATGGGGCTTTAGTTACAAAAGCACAGACTTCATTGTAACATGGTCCCTTGGCACACACCCCAAGGACTGCGCTATGGCAAGACACGTAATGGGTGTTACCGAGGATGACAAAATAAACTGTCCTGGGAAGTAAAAGGAAGGGTAGGAAGGAGGTAGGAGTATATAACGCAGCCTGTTCTTTTCAAAGTGAACCAAGCTCCGCTGGGATCTTGACTGAAGAAAAGGCTGCAGTGCTCATACCTCATTGCCTCCTTGTATTTCTGAATGAGTTTCTGCTTCTCTTCTTTCTCCTCCACCCAGTACTCACTTGGAATGACAAAGTTAGATGTGATTCGGCATTCTGGGCAGGACCTGGGAAACAATGAACAGGCTGCAGTGCAAATTCCCCTTCACAGGCCCACTCACGGACACACCCTGGTGCGTCACCTCCAGATTTACAGACTTAAACTCCAAGTCAGTGGGCATCTCCTGAAAGGGCTCCCAACATTGTCACACAACTGACCATTTCCTTTGAGGCAAGACAAGCTCCTTTATAAATTCAGCTTACTGGCTAGCCAGTTCATTAAAAAAAAAAAAATAGAACTTAGGTTAAAATAAGCAACAAAAGAAGACATTTCACACAGACTCCTTTTTCTTTCGTTTAAATAAATTTATTTCTTGTAACTTTGCTCTGTTTAAGTTATGTTGTTTTTGTTCAGTTATGAGAACAATCTTTAAAGGATGGTGGATTATTGGCTAGCTTAATGGATGAAATAGGAAAGTGGCAAATGTAAAACGTCAGGAAACATACATTCAGAGCTAGGTAAGCTTGTTCACTGAGCCTAAAGGGGCTAATCCGTTAAACAATCTCCTCAGAAAAAGCTTCTACTAACTGTTACATAGGGTTTCCTCATTCAAATAAAAGTAAATATACCAACTAACCTACAAGCTAGCTGAAATACAAACAAGAAACCCCAATTCAAAGAATACCCCCATTTCAAGATAAAATGCATGCATTTAAATGCGGTCCATCTGCTTGAAAGTTGGCACAAGACACTAAATTCTTCCCCAAAATAGAAAGCACAAACGAAGATTGGGGAGGAGTCTCACTTTATGATCTTGCTCTCAAATTGCTTAGCACTCCTCCACTTGCGAATACACTTGAGACAGTAGGTGTGGCTGCAGTTGGAGAGGATCCCGAAGCAGCACTCACTGGGGTTGGCTTTCTCATAGACCACCTCCATGCAGATCCCACACACTTTGTCCTTACTGCGCTGGATGGCAAACGAGAGCTCCATGTCCTTCTCATGGGCCTCAATGCAAGACTGGAAAAAGTGGAGAGAGAAGTGTAATCAAGTCACTGGACAATGCAAGACTTTACCGGACAGTTAATGGCTCATGTTCAGAGAACCAGAGTCAGCTGAAGAGTTAGTGTTCCCAATCTGACAGCAGCTTTGTTCGTTCACAAGTACAGGTACACTGACATTTTGGGACTTGACATTACCACAAGTCACACAATAAGGACTTAACTTCAGGAACTGAAAAATTACACAATTTTCTCAATCCTGCAGGCCAACCCCTGTTATCTTAAAGACCGTTTGCATGCTAAGTTTGTTGACTTTCTCATTTCTAGATGGAAAATGCAATTGGGATTAAGGCCCTAATTTATAATCTGTCAGAAAACAGGGTGAATGAAACTAACATTTATTAGGTGGCAATTATGTGCCAGGCACATAATTTGCACATAAAAAACAGCTTTACTGAGATATAATTCACATACCAGGTAATTCACTCATTTAAAGTGTACAATTAGCCCTGGCCAGTGTGGCTCAGTTGGATGGACTGTCATTCTGTGCATGGAGAGGTCACCAGTTTGATACCCAGTCAGGGCACACACCCAGGTTGCCATCTCCATCCCCAGTTGAGGGGAGAGTGGGGGGCAGAATGCAGAAGGCAGCCTGATGTACCCTTTCACATCAGTGGTTCGTATTCTCTCTCCCTCGCCTTTCTCTCTCTAGAGAAAAAAATCTCTTAGTGTGAGGGTCTTATTTCTTAATAAAGCATTCAAAAAGCCCAAGAAGGAAAATATCCCTACTGACCAACATTTCAATTCACCAAAAGTTTCTCTGAAATGAACCAAACAAACGGGCAATGCCGTGGAAAAGAAAAATATAGTCCCCATACCTATTAACATTATGCCATCCTAAAAACTTACTTTTATGTGCTGTGATCTCTGGGCTGCGTCCACTGGGTGTAGGACCTGCAGCCCGCACATGTCACAGGAGTCTCCGTGGAGGTACACGCAGTTCTCCCCGTAGCGGCACTCTCCCACCGCTGCATAGGGACAGAGCTGCTTCTTTGCGTCCACGGCCGCTGGCTCCTTCTCTGGCTCTTCCTTGGTCCCCGAGCCCTGCAGGGGTGCTTCAGTGCAAGAAGGGGCAGCTGAAATGTTTAGGAGAGTGGTAAAGGTCCAACATGGATCAGGCAGATAAACCGAGCCTAACTGAAAAGAACTTTCATTGAACTCCAGAACAGTTTACTGAACTCATTTTCTTACTCTTGGAAGAAATTTTTTTTCTCTAATGCTGGTATTTCCGAGATTAGGCTGGTAAAAGGGGGGTGGGGAGCTCTTTATGTATCTCTGTGCAACTGTACTGATAATGGGAGGCTTCAGTTTTTCAACATTCTAAATTCAATACTATGGGGATTCATTGAGTTTCTTTCACTCCATCTGTCAGTTTCAGGTAACTCATTTAGACTTACAATTAGGCTGCATGTGAAGACTGGCAACCAGAAGGTTGTGAAAACTCAGTTAATTGATGCACTATACCTAGCCCTCTGACTTGTTTTTATTCTTCAAAATACTCACTACGGCCACAGTAGGGCTGCCCAGGAACAAACTCAATGGCATTCACCCAGTCTTCTGAACCTGCTCCTACAGTTGCAAAGTTTGAATTTGACTCAGCCTCGCCCGTATTCATTTCAACAATCGGTCCAACTACTGGTGAGAGACTTGAGGAAGCAGCAAGGGATGGTTTTGCAGTTAGATCTGTAGCAGTTGCTTCTTCCTGTTTCAATGGTTTGCTATGTTCGTATCTAAAAAAATAAAATTAAAAGTCAGTACTCGCAGTCTAAGCAGAACCCTCTAGATAGGATATCTATTCCCTGATCCGTCCTTGGGTTCTTTGTAAACTGCTGTGCACATGAATCATCTGGGAAATTGTTCGAAGGCAGACATCTATTCTGCACCCATGTGATGCTCACATTGCTGGCCAAGGGACCACACTTGCGAAACAAGGTCACAGACAAGGGACAGACAACGTTGGACTGTGTGGCCACAACAGACTGATTCATCAAAGCAAGGCTGACTGACACTCAAATTCAACAAGTGGAAATATGGAACACATTTTACCAAAAAATAAATTTAAATGTTCCCATTACTAAAATCCAATCTGTTACCTTCATATTCCTACTTTGCTTTGTAGTACAAATCATTTTGAGTTTCCTGCTATCAGCTACAAAGGCCAGTGCATTTTATTCCATAGCCTGCAATCATGCAAACTGAGCACTGAGAGGAGGGAGCTATCATGAATATGCTTTTATCATCTTACTGCCTCCTCAAAAAGCGTGAAGGAAGTATTCTTTCATCATTTTAGAGGTGACATAGACGATGAAATGGTCAAATAAGTGGTATGCTAGGTCTCATGTAAATCGTAAGCTGCTTCTCACAAAATGGCAACCATTGGCCAAATCTAGCTTATTCTCACCCTCCCCTTTTATATTTATTTTATTTTAGGTAATCCTCACCTGAGGATATTTTCCCATTTATTTTTAGAGAGTGGAAGAGAGAGGGAGAGACAGAGAGAAACATCGATGTGAGAGAAACACATCGATGGGTTGCCTCCTGCACGTGCCCCAACCAGGGCACCAGCCAGGGAGGAACCTGCAACCTAGGTATGTGGCCTTAACCAGAATCGAACCCACGACCCTTTAGTCTGCAGGCCGACACTCTCCACTGAGCCAAACCGGCCTGGACTAGCTATTTATTCTTTTTTTTAAAATATATTTTATCAATTTTTTTAAAAATATATTTTACTGAGTTTCTACAGAGAGGAAAGGAGAGAGATAGAGAGCCAGAAACATCGAGGAGGAAGGGAGAGTGATAGAGTTAGAAACATCAGTAAGCTGCCTCTTGCACACCCCCTACTGGGGTTGTGCCTGCAACCAAGGTACATGCCCTTGACTGGAATCGAGCCTGGGACCCCTAGGCCCGCAGGCCGATGCTCTATCCACTAAGCCAAACCAGTTAGGGCTAGTTACTTATTCTTAAATGAAATTTAGAACTCAGTTCCTTGGCCCGTGCAGTAGCCACTTTTTCAAGAGTTCCAGAGCTATACATAGCACATTTTCACTATCAGAAGCACTGTTCTGGTTTAGTTTTAAAACCACAGGAAACCTCGGAAATCTAGCCTCAAATCCTCACTTTTCAGATTAATTCCCTGACTTGAAAGGGGACAGCAGAAAAACATTTTATTTATTTTCACAGCCTTCAAGATAGAAGAGGACCTGGGCTTGTAAAGAAGACAGGCTTTAATTTAAAATGCCTCTCCAGAGAGAAAGGGTTCAGGGCTTTAGGAATTAAATGTCAAGATCCAGAAATAGCCCTGGCCAGGTAGCCCAGTTGGTTAGAGTGCCATCCCGATATACCAAGGTTGTGGGTCAGTCTCCAGTCAGGACACATACAAGAATCTACCAATAAAGACATAAATACATAAAACATCAAATCAGCTTCTCTCTCTCTAAAATCAAATTTGAAATTTTTAATAAAAAAAAGATGCATAGCCCAATCAGTTTTGCTCAGTGACTGAGCATCAACCTATGAACCACAAGATCATAGTTCGATTCCTGGTCAGGGCACTGCCCAGGTTGCAGGCTTGATCCCCAGTAGGGGCGTGCAGGAGGCAGCCGATCAATGATTCTCTCATCACTGATGTTGCTATCTCTCTCTCCCTTCTTCCCTGAAATCAATATATATATATATAGATAGATAGATAGATACATAGATAGATAGCTATAAATATATATAGATATGACACCCATATTTTAGTTCTTTCTCCTTTACCATATTCATTTTAAGGATTTCAGGGTAAATGACTTCAAAAGTCATTAGACACTTAATAGATTATCAAATTGCAAATATTATAACTTTTGAAAGAAGTGCATTTTGGTTTTAAGGCAAATTTATCAATGAATCAACAAAGTATGGTAAGTTGCCGAAACCGGTTTGGCTCAGTGGATAGAGCGTCGGCCTGCGGACTGAAAGGTCCCAGGTTCGATTCCGGTCAAGGGCATGTACCTGGGTTGCGGGCACATCCCCAGTGGGAGATGTGCAGGAGGCGGCTGATCGATGTTTCTCTCATCATCGATGTTTCTAACTCTCTATCTCTCTCCGTTCCTCTCTGTGAAAAATCAATAAAATATATTAAAAAAAAAAAGTATGGTAAGTTTTTCAAAGCACAGAGTATTTCCTAGAAAGTTCATCTGTACATAAATTTTCTTGCTTTCAAATATTCTACAATTTTCTGTGGGTATAGAGAAGAATGTTTTAAGAACAGACTAAAAAGGAAAAAAACCAGACTAAAAATTTGAGAAATAAACCGGGTGACTTTTTTTTATCAACACCTGGTTATAGCCATGCACCATACGTCAAGAACAGTACCATCTACTGAGGAATCAAATGTGAATAAAACGAGGTCCCTACTATTAAATGAAAATTTATTTTGAACATTAACCTTTTAAATTAAGAGTTCCTCAGGAAAAGAAATGTATATCAAACAAAAACAACTTTATTCTAAGGGATTACATTGAGGAGAAAATACAGTATTTAAATTTAGACTAATACATTAAAAAACATATGTTCTAAACAACAAAAATATTTTCTCAAGTCTACCTATTTAGGCAAAGTTATTCACTTAGTGCAGTGTAGATCTATATAAAATGTGTTTCCAAGTAAGATTTGTAAAGACAAAGCAAGAAAAAAAAGAGTAAAAGCCAAGACTTACAATTCTGAAAGACGTTTACCAAAAAGTTTCAAAGGTCAAATATAAGGTGATGGAGGAGACCAGACTGGTATTGAGCACACAGTATAATTTACAGAGGATGTATTATAAGAGTGTACCCCTGAAACTTGTTATTAACCAATGTCACCACAATAAATGTAATTTAAAAAGTGGTTTAATGAACCATGGACCTCCTTAAGAGCAGAGATGGCCAACTAGGCCCTAAGGCCAAATCCAACCAGCGCTAACAATGGTCACAACATCTTTAAGTGGTTGAAAAAAGTATCATTTGATGGCACAGATTATATGAAATTCAAATTTCAGTATCTCAAAATAAAGTTTCTATCTAATATATCAGCTTATATATGTAATATCCATGGCTGCTTTTGTGCTACAAAAGATCCTTATGGCCTGCAGAGCCAGAAATATTTCTTCTCTAGCCCTGTGGAGCACGTCTGCCAACCCCTGCTTAAGAGGATTCTCACATCTATTAGATTCACAGTCTGTGAGAGTAGTTTTGTTATAGTTATTATTTCATGGATTATCACAGAACCACTGATCTTTTTAGTCACAGTGTTAAGTGATGAATTAAAGCTAAGCTAACACTGAAACAAGTATGAGCTTTTCTTTCACCTTCTGCAAAAACTCTGATACATACAATCAATTTCTACCTAAGGACATTTTATCAACGTTTCCCCTCGTTCTAAGCAAGAGACTTTTCTCTAGACTGGCTTGCAACTCGCTACTCCTAATCACTCAACGGTCTGATGTCTGCCTGTAAAGATTTTAATGTATGAGATTTAATAGGTCCAGAGGGCAAACCCCCTCCAAAGCAGTTGTCAACCAAGGCAATACTGCCTCTTTCTCCAGGGGGTGTGTTCAGGAACAATGATGACCTGGCCTCACTGGATAACAGCACCACCACTATGAAACACTGATGTGGTACCACTTCTGAACTGCTGGAACTAGAATACTATCTTTCATTATAAACTATCCCCTGGATGAGGAGTTAAATTATTTTAAATCCCTGGGCATTGGTGAAGTTGTATAAAAAGATCCCTAGAGAGTAAAAGTGAAAAGTAGATTTAAGTCCCTAAGCATAATTTTAACAAAAAAACAAGCAGTCATGGAACCAGACCCTCCCCAGGATTCCCTCCTTGCCTGTCTATAATCCAGCTTGTAATAATCACCCTCATTGGCCTGTCCCAAGGATATTACCCACAACTCCCCTTTCAGGCAGAACCCCAGTACATAGGTTTCCCTAACACCTTTCACTTTATCGTAAGTGCTCTACATCCAGTTCAAAACAGCATCATTCCCCAAAGAGGGAGTTGTAGCCTTATTATAAAGAAAACTTAAGGACATACTGGGATTTTCTGAGGAGAGTATCACTGTGCCACTTTTTCCTTTCCAGTAATATTGCAATGAAAAAAATTAAAGCAAATTATTGACTGCTACTCTCAGACATCAGGAGTTCTACTTCTAAGCTCCTACAGTCACATGAAAAGGACCTTTTTTTCCTCTATTCTTGCTAGATTTCCTAATAAAACATATGTGATGACCTAACATTAATGTCTCACCCATCAATAACATCTTAGTCTTTTGAACTCTAAGCATTTGAACCCAACAGCTGACAACAATTCTTATCTAATAGGGACACTCAAATTAGCTATGACATTGCCAATCTGTCTTACCATACTCCGCCCTTCAAAAGGTGGAGCCCAACCTCCTCCTGAACACGGGCTGGACTTAGTGACTTGCTGTAATAAACAGAACATAGTGGAAGCAACAGTGAGGGCTTCTGAGACGAGGTCATAAAGCCATTGTAGCTATGTCCTGCGCTCTCTTGCACCACTGCTCTGGGAAAGCCAGCCACCAAGAGGGAGGATACTACAGGAGCCCTAAGAAAAGGTTCCTGTGGTGAGAACTAGTCTCCTGTTAGCAGTCATCTGAAAGGTGATCCTCCAGCCCCCCAAGACTTCAGATTATGACAGCCCTGTACCAAATCTTGACTATAAATCAGAGTCTGGGCTAGAACCACCCAGGGAAACCACCTTCACATTCCAGATCCCCAGAAACTGATATTGTCTTTTAATCTGCTAAATTCTGGGATAATTTGTGTAGCATCAATAAATAACATATCCATACACCTAGATATTTTCTGAAATGGGAATATAAAGAAAGCTCTACTCAATTCTGAAGCAGAACCCACCATTATTGAATTGCAACTTAACAGGATTATGGTGCCAATTCAACAAACAGAAATTACTTAATTAATCCCTCTTGGTTCCCTAACATTCTGAATTAGATACTAGAGATATTCTTGAAGCACTTTCCCTAAATCTTAGCTTATAATTATTCTTGGGAGCTGGGATGGGGACAGGTTTAGGGAAGTTTGGTTGGAATGACAAACCCTCGTAACGAGCAACCTGATACACTCATTTTTCCAATGCCTGTGAGACTGAAACCAGTTCTCACCATAGAGAATTGAAAGCAGTCCCGCTTGGTCCAATATGCATCTCATTCTTGGTTTAAAAAGGAAATGTCATACACAAACATACCTTGACCACTCCCTGTCCCTAGGTTTGCAGAAGTTGCTCCTTGGGCATTAATTAAACTTAGAATTGTATTACAAATTCATTTTTTAAAATGTATTAATATTCTTTCCAAGTGAGAGATTTCTGTCACTGCACTAACATTCCTAAATAGTCCTTTTCAAAGCATTATTTTAACCCTAGAAATTATAAAGCTATTGAGATTATGAATTTTATTAATTTTTCCAAATCCACCACTGAACACAACTGATTGATGAACAAATTCTTACCTGCAGCGGTCTCCGTAAATACAGTACCCTCGCTGAAAATACTTGCACAGCACACCGTATGGACTGTCAGAGAGGTCATGCGAGTAGCGACAGTTATCTCCTTCCTTACAAACCCCGTGCATGAAATACCTGTGAGACAAGGAACCACATAGCTGGATTAAACGGGATGGAGCCAATACTCAAAGAATTCATGACCAATATATTCCACCAGCAATACACTAGTACTGTATACTAATCCTATACCCATAATTATATTCTACACAAAACATGTGAAATGCACAAAAAAAATAGAACTAGACTATGACCATAAAGTTATCCACAAAGGCACCACAGGAGGCTGCCTATAGACACAAAGTTTAAATTTAAACTTCGATGCTGTCAATCTTATCTTTCCAGGTTAAGTTAAGTGTGACAACTGTTCTCTAGTTATAATCCTAATGGGTACATTCTTGTTTTTCAGTAACTTTAGCCATAGTGGCAGTTCTATCTGCTAAAAAATAAATAAATAAATAAAAACCTAAGATTAAAAGCGAGAAACAGTGTGGTGATTGGGGAGGGGGAATGGGTGGAGGTGGAAGAGGGTACAGAGGAATAAATGGTGATGGAGGAAAAAATAAAAAAGCAAGAAACAATGAAGACTGGACCAGGTCAGACTACTGCTTGTTTCACTTCAAGAAATTATTGTAATTATTTAAAAGCCACATGTAACCATACAAGCAAAATTTGCTGCGAAGGTAGGGAAGAAGGAAAATCATTTTATGTCCTTGGTTAGCAGAACGATCTCCCTGTGCCTTAGCGAGTGCCCGTGGACTGAACTAGCAGCTTCCCTCTCATGTCAGAGCAGGACTCAGCGGCCGCTAAGTGGATCAGGACCAGCATTGCCAACAGCACGTGGGGATTTGCTAGAAATGCACATTTTGAGACTTTATCTCAGACCTTCTAATCTATAACTGGGGTAAGAGGGGGCTAAGGCAGCAGCAACCTGCATTTCTCTAAATGACTGTGGATCAGGGAAGCAATAAGGGTTTCATTTTAATCCTGAAAAGTGAGTAGAACCTAAAAACACACCACCCCCATCATCCCATCACTGACTTAATAGGATTAGTTTTTCTTCTTTTAGTCTTTCTCTTGAGCAGGGTTATTAAGATTTCATTTTGGCAGGCTACACCTCCCGAAATATGCGCCTTGCCACCACTGGTACAGAGTAAGGGAAAAAGTGCCTATTTCCTGGGTGTAGGTAGAATATCAGTAAGCACATTCCACTTTGCCCACTAATTTGGAATGATACGCAGAAAATAAATTCACATTTACCTAAGGCTGTCCCCAATTAAAATATGGAAGGTTATTCAGCAATTTCCTGCAAGTAGATCGTCACAGCAGATAACATGGAAAGAAAGAATACCACTCTGGTGGAAAGGTGTTAAGATCCTTAAATGCCTAGGACTGCAAATCCATCTATATAAAAGCCTAAGCGATCATTATGGCGGAACGCCAGACCAATCTGTCGATATGATGTGCACTGACCACCAGGGAGCAGATGCTCAACGCAGGAGCTGCCTCCTGGTGGTCAGTGCGCTCCCAGAAGCTGGGCTCATGGCTGGCCAGTGCAACGGTGGTGGTAGGAGCAGTGAGGGTTCATGGGCTGCGAGAGGGCACAGGCCATGCTGAAGAACACCACCACCCCACCCCACCCCACCCCACCTCAGTGCACGAATTTCGTGCACTGGGCCTCCAGTAACAAACACACGGTAGGTCAAATTATACTTAACCTACCCCAGCAAAAAAACAAACAAACAATCAAAAAAAACCAAATTATACTAAACCTAATCAAACTTGGGTTTGAACTTTCTCTCAGCTACAGGGCTACTTTGTGTAAGCTTTAAAGCTGTGAGCCATATCACCCAAATTTGAGCTACATTGTAGCAACAGATAATATTTTAAAATATATGTTTACTGCCCTAACTGGTTTGGCTCAGTGGATGGAGGTCAACCTGCAAACTCAAGGGTCCCAGGTTCAATTCCGGTCAAGGGCATGTACTTTGGTTGCGGGCACATCCCCAGTAGGGGGTGTGCAGGAGGCAGCTGGTCGATGTTTCTAACTCTCTATCCCTCTCCCTTCCTCTCTGTGAAAAACCAATAAAATATATTTAAAAAATAAATAAAATATATGTTTACTGATTTCAGACAGGAAGGGAGAGGGAGAGACAGGAGCATCAGTGATGAGTCATTGATCAGCTGCTCCTGCACACCACACTGGGGATCGAGCCTGCAACCTGGGGATGTGCCCTCAACAGGAATCAAACCGTGACCTTCTGGTTCACAGGTTGACACTCAACCACTGAGCCATACTGGCTGGGTCCAATAGATAACTTTTGACTGCATTAAGTGAAGTGATTAAAACTTAACAAAACTACTATGCAAATAAATAGCTACATTGTAATCACTACTATGGAGTAGTCATGCTTTTGAGTTTCTATAAAAGTATCCACAGTTGAAAATATGGTATTCATTAGAAACAGTGTCACTGTTTGAATACAATTGCTCTCTGTCCCATCCCCAGTGGGAACACTTGCTCTTACATTCTAAGTAAGACAAGAGTGCCTAAACCCTCACTATTTATTTGGGGTCAATTTGATGTCAGAGATGCCTGTGTTTTTAAGGCTTGATAAAACATCTACCTAGAGATAAAGCTGGGTGGTAGCTCCTAACTCTCAGGCACAGTACTTGGAATTTCAGGTTTGTTCTTAAACCCTATTCTGCCATGGTCTTGTTCAGTGCATTGTTGCACTTAGGTTTATGATGCTCTTCTTTATGTCAAATTAAGTCATCCAGGAATCACTACCTGACAGCTGCTTACCTTACTTAACCTTGTTTGCTCAATCTTTTGCTTCAAGGACCTCAAATCCCTAATACCTGCATCTTAATGTTCAGCATGACATCTTACCTTCACACTTTTGCAACACCTACACCAATATTACTTTTTAATATCCATAATGGGTGGAAATTTTTAGAATCTTTTGCCTTGCAGTGGTGCTAACACTGTTGGTATACCCAGAATTATTGACATTTCTCACAGTGAAATCCCTTCTTGCCAACCTATCTCTGTGTAAGTCTAAGCAACTGGGATGATAGTGTAAGTTATAACAGATAACAAAAAAAAGCAACCCACTCCCAAGAATTTCTCGCCAAAACCAAACCAATAAAAATGACACCATTAAAATCCACCTGATGCCCCTGCCCAGGCTGAGCTTGCCCATCCCTGAGGTGAAGATTTCTGAGCCATACATTTCTGCAGTTCCTTCCACCTGGAAGATTCTGTGACTCCAAGCAGACATTGTCAGGTAATAAAGACATACCACTGACAAGAATCCCCTGACCTACCTCTTGAAAGCCTAAGCATGATCAAGATGTATTAGCCTGCTCACAGTTCCTCTAGCATAGTAACAATCTCTTTGGGAATTTATAGAAAATTACAGATCATTAATTAATTTAAGATTTAATCACTTAATCTGCTATTACATTTCTCACTTTGATATTTTAATGTACCCTATTTCTCAAATTGGCTTGTAAATTCCTGGTGGTTAAGAACCATGCTTTATTCTGCTTTTACCTCCTCGGTACCCAAACACAGAATAGGTTTGTTTCCTAAAAGACACCATTCAAATTCGGCTGATGCCCCTGCAGAGGAGAATTTGGGGGCCATGGTGAATCATAGCGACAGTAGCAAATTAAATCTCCCTAGGCTGGAGGACTTCAAATGCCGTCCCTTCAAACCCAGAGTTGTAAGCAATGAATTTCACCCACAGATATCAGAGCACTTAAAGACCTTCTGAAATTTTTCCTTCATTTTTAAGCTATACCAACCACACTTACGGCCTGGTGGGGGCAGCATAATACAGTTTCTTGAAAAAGAGATATCTAGGATTTTCTTAAGCTGCAGAAATAAAACACAGGATAGAATTTGGAGAGATTCTGAACAATTAAAAACAAATATCCATCCTCCGAACAAGTACTAACTTCTAAGAGTATTATACTCTAGGCGAAGAAAGCCAAAATCCTAGGAATGAGGGGGAAATGGACACAAAACACTAGAACACATCTTGGACTCGAAGTTTTAGCTATCAAATACACTGAAACTATTTATAATACAGTGTTATCACTTCTTGGGCTTTTGGCTAAGATCACGTGTATTCATAATACAGTGCATTTCAGCATTCCCTTTCACATCTAGCACACACTCGTGTAGGCGCTAATGCTTATTCACTGAATAACTGAATGAGGTAGTCCCAGAAAGACATATACATATGTCCCATTTAAGTCCTTTGTCTTTGCTAATTCACAAATGGTGTTTTCTTGTTGTTTTGTTTTTTAATGAAAGCAGAGGAACATTACTAGTCTATACTGAAGTGGATAATTGTAGGTGTGGATTTATCAACATCAATTCAAGTAGTTACTGAATATGCCAGGTACCTACAAATAGGATGAAGAAATAGCCCTGCTTTCAGAGCTCAAGTCTAGAATAAATGAAGATATCATGATACTCCTCTGTTCAATAAAGTGTTTGTTTTTTAAATAGATCATGTTGGTACCTAAAATAACTAAAAACAATGTCAACCAAGACATTATCAACTAATCTGCACATTTTTTCAGATATCTGTCTAGCAAGCTACTGACAGGTTTATGTAATAAAAAACAAAACCCTGCACGTCTAAGCCTGTGTAGTGTTTTCTCCCCCCAAATACTAGATTACTCAGGTAGGTAAATTTCTTTAATACATAAATCAATTGGTTCATGGGCAAAGAACCACCGCTGGTCTGGGAACGATCAGGCTATTTCATTAACTCAAAGATCCTAACTGCAGGCAAAGAAGAACAATCAGTTGGTAAGCTGTGTTCTCAATTCTGATGTTACTGGTGAGGAACTAGAAAAAGAGAACCAGAAAAAGAAAAAGCACCTAACAGCGGGGAAAGTGAAGCACAGGAAGTGACAGTGAATTCTGTGCAGAGATGTCAAGTTGGGCTCACGCTGCAGACACAGCAGGATCACCTGGAGGCTAAGTATGTCAGGCTGGGGAGAGGTTTCCGAGCCTATTTAGATTGGAGATGGGGAGGGAAACGGAGGCACTGGATGGAGTCCTTAAAGAGGTCACATCTTCTAGGGAGATTAAGTTCATTGTATGAATGTAGAGTGGGGCTGCAAGGCGAATGGCTGTAAAATTCAGGAATATAAAGTTACACTAGCACTTTAATTTTTTTCAAGACTCGAACAGGACATATCAAGCAACTGCAGCACGTAGTTACATGGATGGGAATTCTTAAATTACCATTTGGGGATACCGCACTTAATTCCTTTCCTAGGGTCTACCAACAACAGCCTTTATGCTTCCCCCGTCCTGTTACTCAAAGTAAAGGCAATTAAGCTTATCATCTATGCCTTAACTGCATCATGTTAAAGGCTGGCAGGGCCTCAATCTCGCTGTTAATGCTAGAACAGTGAGTTCTGTATATTAGGAATATCTTTGCGTCTTAATTATCTCACACAGATGAAACCGGCATTTCGGATGGATTTTTGCAAATGAAAACTTCTGCTCCTACTGATCACATTTTTAAAACCCAAGCATAATATCAAACTAAATGCTCTAACCTTATTATATATACATATATATAGATGTTATATATGACAGCTTGACAGTTTTTAACATGCGTATACACATTCCTATAAGAGCCATCCACTAACCACTTTAAAGGAGAAAAAAAAAGATTTTCCCTCTGACATACCAAGCCAAAACAAACCCTCTCCTCCGGGCTGCAGGAGGTCTCTGACTCCCTGCAACGGAGAGAGGCGTGGATTTCAAAAAGAGAAACATTTCGCCCCGGGAGGGGAACGGCAGCTTGTAAAACTCAGGGCGGAGGATGCCGACCCGGCCCGGCTCCGCACACGGTTCCCAGACAAAGCTCAGAACCGCCAGCCTCGATAAACATACAAAGAAATAACAAAAGCTACTTCTCCGGGCGGGGCGGGGCGGGGACGCGAGCAGACGTTACAATCCGATGACACGGCGGCGGTGCCCCCGGCAGCCAGGCCACCTGGCCCCCACCCGC